ATATATAATTTAATTAAGTAAAGACTATAATTTACACAAGTAATTCATGCTTTTGAGTCCTAAACTACCCGGATTTTAGCATTTAATAGTAGCTACGTACGAACTCTCATCACCCCGTACGTACGTAGCCCCCACAATTAGCAACAATTATTTAATTTAATCACCTATGGGGTAATTTTCCCCTCACAAGATTAGACAAGAGACTTACTTCGTCTTGCTCCAATTTAATCCACTAGTAGGCCTTTTCCTAGGTTATCCAACTTTGATTGACTCAAATCTAACAAAAAATAATTCGATACAATCACTAAAATTTATATGAATCAATTCTATAAGAAAATACTACACTTTTAATAAAAATCCCGAAATTAATTAAAAATTCGTCCGTGGGGCCCATGTCTCGGAATCCGGCGAAAGTTACGAAATCCGATAACTCATTCAATTACGAGTCCAACCATACCATCTTCACTCAAATCCGACTCCGAATCGATACCGAAATCTCAAAAATTCGATTATATGAGATTTCTAAAAATTTTCCAAATTTTAATCTCAAAACACTAATTAAATGATGAGAACAATGATATATTTGTGTTTATAGACCAAATCCAAGTTAGAATCACTTACCCCAATGTCTTTTCCTTGAAAATCTATCAATGATCGCCTTTGCTCAAGCTCCAATTTGTTAAAAATGGCGAATGGGACGAGTGCCCTCTTTTATAATTCTGCCTAGGCAGCCCTCGACCATGGCCTCGATCATGGCCTCGATCGTGGCTTCGATCATGGCCTCGATTCTCGGCCTCGATCCTGGCCTCGATCGTGGCTTCGATCATGGCTTCGATCCTCGGCCTCGATCGTGGCTACGATCTTGGGCCTCGATCTTGGGTTCGTTCTTGGGCTCGATCTTGGCCCAGAATTTCCAGCATAAAGGAAAATTTGCAGCTGCTGTTTTAAGTCCAACTTTTGATCCGTTAACCATCTGAAACTCACCCGAGACCCTAGGGACCTCAATCAAATATGCCAACAAGTCCTACGCTAAAACCACGAATTATACTCCAATTCAAACTTAATGAAACTTAAAATTTCCAACTTCTACATTCGATGTCGAAACCTATCAAATCAACTCCGATTGACCTCAAATTTTGCACACAAGTCATAAATGACATAACGGAGTTATGAAATTTTTCGGAACTGAATTCCGACTCCGGTATCAAAAAGCCAACTCCCCTGTCAAACTTCTAAACTTAAATTCTTATTTTTAGCCATTTCAAGCCTAATTTAACTACGAACTTCCAAATAAAATTTCGAACACACTCCTAAGTCCAAAATCACCATACAGAGCTGTTGGAATCATCAAAATTCCGTGGTCGTTTCCACATAATTCAATATCCGGTCACTATTTGAATTTAAACTTTTAATTTCTTTTATCAAAATTCTATATCTTGGGCTAGGGACCTCGGAATTTGATTCCGGGTATACGCCCAAGTCCCAAATCACGATACGGACCTACCGGAACTGTCAAAATACTGATCCGAGTCCGTTTGCTTAAAATGTTGACCAAAGCCAACTCAGTTGAGTTTTAAAGCTCTAATTCACATTTTAATCCTTTTTTCACATAAAAACTTTCTAGAAAATTTTACGAACTACGCACGCAAGTCGAGAAATGATAAATAGTACTTTTCGAGATCTTAGAACACATAATTAATTATTAAATTTAAAGATGACATTTTGGATCATCACAATTTAAGACTCGTAATGATGTATAGGAAAAGGATTCTAATAAGTGAGTAATTATATTGAAATGCTAGCATTTGAGGCATGCCACATCATCCCCCTCACTCTCTCTCTCTATATATATATATATATATATATATATATATATATATAAACACTACCAAATAAGGGATTAATAATATCAAAGCATATATATGTATTATTTTTCCTACTACATCCTACTAAACGGCCCTAAGAGTTAAATTATTTATCCACATCCAATGACACGCCATAATTTTATCTGTTTATTTTTAATAATGATGCTTGGATTATTGTCGTACGAAAAAAATATTTGGTTGAGGCAACAAAATTAGAGTATTTGAAGTTAAAATTGAAGAAAGCATAGTTGGAACGATTTGCAAATATGTATGATAAAATCTCTTATAATCTCCAAATAATATTTCAAATGTTATTAATTGCCAAATGTGTGAGTACACGTGAAGGGATAAAGACCGATTTCAAGCGAAAAAGCCTTATTAAGAAATACTACTTGATCCGTGATGTTCGAAGTCAGTTGCTTATCCAGAAACGGAGTAAAACAAGACAACAAAGCAGAAGTGTAACTTGGCCAACTTATTAATTTTATCCAAAAATGTGCCCAAGATCTTTAAAATCTATAGCTGTCTTCTACCAGCCTCTAGCAATGCATTCCTATCAATAGGGTTGGGCATAGTCTTATGGCTCCATGCAAACCTGAAATCCAAATCGAAATTCGGAATTTTTGAATTTTTAATTTGGATTTTTGAATTACGGATTAAATTTTAGATTTAATTTTTAAAATATTTGGATTTCGGACTGGATATTGGATTTAGTACCTAAGAATTTTTGGATAACCAAAAATTCAAATTTTTTATACTTTAAAATTTAGTCCATTATTCATATGTTAATAGTAATACGTTCAATATCCTACCAATTAAATATTATTTCGTATATTCAATATTAATTATTAAGTTATTGTCAAAATAATTTCTATTTGGATATAATTTTACTATTGTTACTTCTTATCCATCGTATTAATGTTCTGTTGCATTTCCTTGATAATTTCATTAATTGAATACTTTCTTGGATGATTGCAGTGAGAATGATGAACTTTTTAGGCAATTTGTAAAAAGAAGAAACGTTTCAACTTATAAGCTCAAAATCGAGAATCCAAAATATCCAAACTGATTAATCCAAAACCAAAAATAAAAAACTAGTATAATTTTACTAGTGGGTATGGGGAGGGTAGTGTGTACGCAGACCTTACCCTTATCATGTGGTAGAGAGATTGTTTTCGATAGACCCTCGACTTCCTCCCTCCAAGAACCCCCCACTTTGCTCTTTGGGTGACTCGAACTCACAACCTCTTGATTTGAAGTGAAAGGTGCTCACCACTAGAGCAACCAATTCTAATCCGAGTTTATTTGAATTTGATTTGAATTGTTATTTTTTCAATCAGAAAACCGAGAATTCTATTAGGCAAAGTAACCGTGAAGAACTGTGGTTGGATGATAGAACACTTCCGCTCTTAATTAGAAACTTTGGCCGTGAAAATGAAAAAAACTTTATAGGAGTATTTCTCCCTTTAACATGTCTAATGTGGCGCAAGTCTAAGTTAGTTGGGCTAGTAAGTATCAAATNATATATATATGTGTGTGTGTGTGTGTGTTATATACATATAATATACATAGTTTATATATTTTTTAGTTAATGAATGAAATTAATTTTTGTTTCCCGCTCGATATCCAGTACGAGCATTGATGCCCAATTAATGAAATTTCGTAAATAGGAAAACGCTTATTTTTTTCGAAATCAGTGTTTGACCATAAATTTTCAAATTTTTACTTGAAGATAGATTTTGAAATTTTTCGAAAATTTAAAAAAGTTTAAAAAGTTATTTTTTAAAATTTTCACTCAAATCACTCACAAAACTTTAAAAACAACCCAAAATTATATTCATGTACAAATATTTCAAATACCATTGGGTAAAGAAAAGGAAAGTTGGGTAAATCCTTTTTAAGGTAGTGAAAGAGATGGTTGACTGGCGGCAATTTGGTGAGTGATAGTGTGAGCCTCTCGCTCCACCTAACCTCAAATTATAGCTGGTCAATTTTACCCTTCAACAACTCCATTATTACGATTAAACCACTTTCTTCCTCTATTTAAACATAAATCCTTACATGTGAAAAGTGAAATCCAAAAAGTTAGAGAGCAATGGAGTCTGTTACCGTTGAGAATTACGTGTTCCCACCAGCAATGGTGAAGCCTCCTGGTTCTACCAATACTTTTTTCCTTGCCGGCGCAGGTTTAATTAATCTTTTTTGGTTTGTTCTAATCGAATTATGTGTTTAATCTCACTCTAATTTAATTATGTGTGCAGGAAATAGAGGTTTGGAGATTGAAGGAAAGTTTGTGAAGTTCACTGCGATCGGCGTGTACTTTGAAGAGACTGCTCTTCCTTTTCTCGCCACTAAATGGAAAAGCAAAAGCTCCGAGGAGTTGGCTAAGTCACTCGACTTTTTCAGGGATATCGTCACAGGTAACAATTTATTTGATAGAGTTTAACAGGGGCGTATCTATGTGTTGGAGCACGGGCACGCGAACCCATGTTCATTTCTCGATACCATATATAATAATGTTATATCTCTTAAAAATTTCTTAAATAAATGAATACTATAATATAATGATGGATGCACCTTTATGAGTTGAAGTTAGAGGTTCAAATCTGAGTTTGTAGACATGTCTAGTGTCCCTCTTGTGTTTTAATTAAGTATTTTTCTTTCTTTTTTTATTTGTTTATTCATTCAAACACTCGTAAGAGGTTCAAATCCCAGTTTGTAAAGTATTTTTTTTCTTTTTCTTTCTTTTTTATTTGATTTACTCATTCGAAATCCCCAAATCTAACACATTGAAATCCTTGATCTCCTTTTGTCATCGCAAAATTTTATTTAATTAAAACTAATAGCAGTAAATGATGTAGTATGGTTCAATGATTCCAGCATTTTTGATATGGAGTGTAGGTATATGTATCTAGAATTTCTAGCATTTTTGATATCTAGAATTAAAACTAATAGCAGTAGAAATTTCTAGAATTTTTTTAATTTTAACCTATAATATCTAAATGATTATGGATTCATGTTAGGATCCTAAAGGTTGAACCCGTCAAATATAAATTCTAGATTCAGCTCTTTGTAATAGTGCACCCATCTTTTTGGAATAGTGATCCCGCCATTGGAGTTTAAGGTATATGCACTTAACGGTATAAAAATAACTTATATGTAAATTATACTGATGTATAAAAAGTTCATTATATTGTCGGTATATATACTTAAATCCTATTTGATATGGTCAAGTAAATAGATTAGTGTCCTTTGTAACACGGTATTGAGGGAAATTATCGAAGAAGAAAATTATGCTATAAAAACAACACGGTTTTGGGATGCAGAAAGAGGTGTTAAATTTATCTCAAAAACTGTAACCACCCAAATCCATCAAATTTTTGGCAGGATGAGCTAAGGATATACATTCATAGGTCAATTTGGGTAGAGACAGATTCAGGATCTGAACTTTATATAGATTCTATCACAACTCATGTGATGTATTGGTTTCGATATTAATTAATTGAACTTTTTAACGAATTTTTTAACACATATTTTCTGAGCCAAATTAGTTGAACTCTACATCAGCCCCTGGTTCTACATGTCAATAAATCTTCAGAGGCAGATTTAGGGAGGTGGAAGTGGGTTGAGGTGGAAGTGGGTTGAACCTCCCTTGCCAAAATATTACAGTGTACATATGAGGCAAAATTTGTTTTGTTCCTCTATATATTATATTTTGAAACCCATTGACATATCCGAAAAGTGTAGCCCAGTTTTAAAGGGGGGTCAAAATCTTTGTAAGGTCGCTGGTTCAATTCCCACGGAGAATGACTCTTATAAATAAGAAGTTCAGGAATTAGATTTGAGGGCTTTATTAATATAACATTCTACATATCTAGGGTCTTAAAACAATTAAGAGGTTTCTCTCCATCTAAGTTAAGGTTTGTGAATGTTTTCATACTTTCTCTCTGGCAGGTCCTTTTGAGAAATTCACTCGAGTGACTATGATCTTGCCTTTGACGGGTAAGCAATACTCAGAGAAGGTGGCAGAAAATTGTGTTGCCCATTGGAAAGCAATAGGAACCTACACCGATGCAGAAAATCAGGCCATTGAAAAGTTCCTCAACATTTTCCAGAATGAAACCTTCCCGCCGGGTGCCTCCATCCTTTTTACTCAATCACCTGTTGGGGCATTGACGGTATGTATGATCAATTATAGAGAGCGATAATAGAAATTAGACATTTGCATCATCTGATAGGACCCTTTTGACAATATTTATGCACCAAAAAGATGAACAACATTTATCTGTAAGCTCATTGATGTTCCTTCTATATTTTTCTTTGTCCGAGTCCAGATTAGCTTCATTAAAGATGATTCAATTACTGGCACTCGAAATGCTGTTATAGAGAACAAACAATTGTCTGAAGCAGTGCTGGAGTCCATAATTGGCAAACATGGAGTTTCCCCTGCAGCAAAGTGTAGTATCGCCGAAAGAGTGTCAGAACTATTCAAAAAGAGCTATGCCGACGCGTCAGTTTGTGAAAAACCAGGAATTGAGAAATCCTCCGATACAGTGATTGAGGAGAAACCTACCATTCCAGAAATTGGAGTCTAGTTAGGACAACAAAAAAGGTTATAATGCTGAATCTCCTTTGTCAACTGAACCTGATGTTGTCAACGTTGCATGAGTATACTAGAGGAATGATTTAGCCGCTTAGGCTTTTCTAGCTTCTCTACTATGTAGTAGTATTCAACAAGGTCCCATCTTTGAAACTGTGTTAGCTGTGTAATGTGGGAGGCTCAACGTGCCTTTTGATGAATTTAAATCATTATTTATCAAAATATGTTCTTACCAATTGGACCAGTGAGCAATATGGGGCTACAGCTGTGATATTATATTCGTATCCATTCCATATTAAAATATGTTCATACCCATTTATCAAGATATGTTGTGGAATATTTTTCAATGTTTGGATGGAAATATTTATCAAAAGTTAATAATACTATTGGCAAACTAAGAGTGTTTTGATAATATTTTTTGAGTATAGAAATGACTTCCGCCCATAAGTAATGGAAGTCACTTTCACCATTGCTGTGTTGTCTTCTTCTCAAATATCTTTGTCCCTGTAGGCATTAAACACCCAATAAAAATACTCTCTGTTTTACTTTAGGTATCCTAAGTTGTTTTTAATCTGAACCAATCGTAGAGAGGTGTTTTACCATTATATATACAAGGTACTTGTTAAAGTAGGATCGAGATCTTTCAAATAATTAAGCTTTGCTTGCATAAGATGTAGTACATTTTCAACAATTCGTTGGTGAAAATTTACAGGAGTACTTTAGTTGGGACAGAGGAGTAGTAAAGTTGCCGCTGGATTTGGAATGAGTGATTTGTCGAATTTTTTGCATGTCTACTTATATCTGGGTACTTTTCTCTATAGCTGCAAGTAGTAATTGTTGGTCCATAATCTGCCATAAAATAATTTTACGAGCTACATCTATCTTCACTCATAAATTGAGAATTTTGTGAGTAATAAATAGTTACCATTAAAGTGGTTTGTCTATTTGAACTCATGGAGCATTCTTAATAATTTTGTACAATTTTGAACATGTGAAATTATGTCTATTCATGAATTGAGCATTATGATTAATAAGTAGGATCCACAAAATGGTCTATTTATTTGAGTCATTAAAATCTGCTTAATGTACCATGTGAAAATTATCCTTATAAATCTACATTAGTGGTGGAAGTTCTTAACTAGAAAAAAGAGTCTTATCTTTGAATACTAGTGAGACCAACTCCACCCATGAGAAGAGATATTGGGGTTTTCGCTGAACGGAGAAAATATAATATCTTAGGTTCTTGTGTATTTAATAAAAGGATAATTTATTGCAAAATGAGATATTATGCATCCTAGAAATAGGAAGAACATAATATATGCCTTGAGCTCATAGTATAATTATAAGGAGAATGGAAATCAATATCATATTTATTTTAATTCATGAAACTACTTAAAACGGTTATTCTCCAGTTTGGTTACAGGCTGGTAGTCATGAATTTGACGAACTCCGATTGACCTGAAACTTGGTAGGTTCATCGAAAACGATCTAGTGAGAAAAACTCACTGCTATGCGGTGAATCATGTTATTTTTCGGCATTTTGAGGTCGTTTAGATGAGTTTTCAAGCAGTTTATTAAATTGAATTTGTTATAAATATGAAAAATTATTCTTTTTATATCGGCTATATTTGTGTTAAATCTGAAACATGATGATTTAACTGGATATGATATATAGCAAGAATGCAAATCACATGGATTTAATACTAAATACGTCAAAAATAATTTATTCGAATTTGGTCTAGTTTTTGACGATCGTGAATTTTACGATCTCCGAATGACCTGAAATTCGGTATGATCATCGAAAACGATCAGTTAAGGAGAACTCACTGCTATGCAGTGAATCACATCGTATTTTGACGATTTGAGATCGTTTAGATGAGATTTTTTGGAGGTTTAGCGGATTAAAATGTGATTTACATACGAAAAGTCATTCTTTCTATCATTTTATTTATGTCTAATCTGGAACATGATAACCCATCTTGATTTGACATGAATTGGTATATGATAAGAATGTAGGTCATATTTTAAATTCTTAAAAAATGCTTAAAATGGTAATTTTTCAAATTTCGTCGTAATTTTTGGAGATTGTGATTTTAACGATCTTCGATTGATCTGAAATTTGGTAGGTTTATCAGAAACAGTCCAGTGATCAATTCCCATTGCTATGCAGTAAAAAATATTAATTTTAGCGTTTTAAGACTGTTTAAATGGGGTTTTGAGTATTTTTTAAATTTTAAAACTTAATCCTCAGAGAAAAGTTCGTGGTTGTGATAAAGTGGTGATAGGAATTAACCCCTATGGTCTCCATTTTTTATTTATAGTGAGATAATAAATTTACACGTTGACATTAGGTCTTCCTTCATATTGAATAAATTTATTATGAACTCACTGGGTATAGTTACTAGTTATTGATAACCTGTATTATCTCTCTATCTGAGTTTAAGGGTTGAATCAATTTTATAACTAAAATACAATCATGATTAAGTGGTGATAGAAATATATTTCTATGGTCTTCCACTATTAATTTCAAGTGAGTAATAAATTTACGCGTTGACTTTAGGTCTTCCTCCATATCGGATAAATTTATTGTAAGCTCACTAGGTAAAATACTAGTAATTGATATCGTGTACTTACTCTCCATATGAGTATATATGTTGGATCAATGGAACTAGAACTATTAATTATGATGTTCACTTGACTTAAATTAACAGTATACTCTCCATCTGAGTTGGGTCTGTTTTAATTATTGGAGTGAATAATCTGGCATTACATATGTATGTTGCATGAGTAATTCTTTTCCCATCGAAATTGCTATTCGAGGTGCATGAATACATATATGTGTAGTGTGTTTAAAATTTTCGTATTAAAAAGTTATATACAATTGATTGAAAATAATAGTATACTCTCCATTTGAGTTGGTTCTATTTATTTTTGGATTCTATAATTCTTGCATTATATAATATACTTTGCATGAATGATTCTTTTCCCATCGAAATTTATTATTCGAGATGCATGTATGTATATAAATATTGAAAGCAATCTTAATTTTATTATTCAGTGTTTTGACTTATTATGATCTATTTAATATTTTTATCTCAACTCCACAATGACTTTATGCAATTTGTTGTATTACTTGTTAAAATTTTCTTTTAGTGATAAGACATTAATTTAAAGGATGCAATATATGTACCTTTTGTTAGAAGGAATTTAATTTCGGTTTCTAGGCAAAATAAGAGATGGATATTTGTCTTATTTTTCGAATAATTCTTGAGTTATTGAGTTTGATAAACATTTTATCTCTTCTGGTACATGAATGCATGACCTTGTTATTGTATGTTAATGTCTCTCCTGAACAGAATAATCTTAGTCTACCTCATAAGAAAATATATTTTTCAAAATTGAGTAAAACTTATTTGTGCACTTTTGTCTAAGTCATATTAATCTGGATAGGATTTCAAGTTGGTCAAAGATGAACCTTAATGTTCTTGAAAGTAGAGGCACTACCAACTTGTGGATCTTGTTTGGAAGGAAATTTGACTAAAGAATATTTCCCTTCAAAAGGAAATAAAGCTAGTGATAAGCTAGAATGAATCCCTTCTAATTTGTATGGTTAAATGAACATACTCGTAAGAGATAGTTTTGAGTATTTTGTGACGTTCAGAAATGATTACTCAAAATATTAATATATTTATTTGATGCACCGTAAGTCTTAATTGTAACGACTCGGCCGGTCGTTTTGACCATTGCAATCCCGTTCTCTCATTTACTGCTCAAATTGTGAATTACAGTTGTTATTTGGCTTGCCGGGGTAATTGGTTTGGGTTCTGTGAGGTTTTGAAATGATTTAGAGCGCTTAGTTCCAAGGTTTAGAATTTAAGTTGAAAAGGTTGACCGGATGTTAACTTATGTGTAACGACCCCGGAGAAATTTTGCAAAGGAAATTAAAGTTTGGTGGTGCCAAGGTAGATCAATTAGTACAAAGATTAGCACCGATGTGTAAAGGAAAATTTTGTCGGAAAAAGGTCATTTCTGCGACCACTATGCGGTCGCAGAATCACTCTTTGGACCGCATAATGGTCGCAAAGTGGCTCAGGAGAGGGGCAGGATTTGAGAAAAATCTGTGGTGCACTATGCGACCTGTTTTGCGGTGCATTATGCGACCGCAGAACAAGTATGCGGACCGTATAATGGTCGCAGACCGGGTCAGTAACGCCCAGCTTTGGAGGCCAAATTATGCGACGGGTATGCGTACCGCATACCCGTTATGCGATCGCATAACTGCGTAGGAGCTTTCATTCTTTCTAATTTTTTACCTGACCCAACTTCAATTTATAGCCCTTGAAGCTCATTTTTGAGCCAAAATCTGATATTTTAGAGAGAGGTGAGAGCATTTTAGAGAGAGAAAGTGAATACTTAGTGATTTATCCATTAATTCTTGTTCAAGGTTTGAAGATTTCACAAGGACCTTGCTAGGGCTTCAAAGAGGTAAGAATTTCTTTCCCTAATTCTTCAATTTTGGGTTTGGAGTAAAGATGGGCGATTAATAGTATGATTCTTGGGTGTAGAGTATCATATATACATACCAATAAAGTTGTGGAAAGATTGTTAAGTTCAAATGGGTAAGGATTGAGTTGAAAATGGTAGAAATCTTCATAGACTTTAATTGAAGATTTGAGGGTCGAGTTGGTGTCGGATTTTGGTGAAATTTATATGGTTGGACTCGTGATTGGATGAGCGTTCATATTCGGTAACTTTTATCGGGTTCCGATACGTGGACCCCACGAGCGATTTTTGAGTTAATTTCGAATTTTATTGGAAAAATTAGTATCTCCTTATGGAATTAATTACAATAATTGGTATTGACTGAATTGAGTTAATTGTGGCTAGATACGAGGCTTTCAGAGACCAATTCTCGTGGAAAGGACATAGCAGAATAAAGAATTATACGGGTTGAGGTAAGTAACAGTTTTAAATCCGGTCCTGAGGGTATGAAACCACAGATTTTGGTATCATGTGATTATTTTGGAGGTGGCGCACATGCTAGGTGACAGGCGTGTGGGCATGCACCGAGGGGATTGTGACTTGGTCCGTCCCGGGAAACTATAAAGTTGAATAATTTATTGTTAGCTATATGATCTCTATGTGTTGAAGAAACTTGACTATAAATCATGTTAGAAATCATGCTTAGGCTATGTTATAGTACTGTTGAGACCCATAGAGGTCGCGTACTTGTTGAATTATTTGCTAATTGTTGTCTTGTACTCAGTCATGATTTTTCTTGCGTATTATACCTCAGTCTTTCT